TGGGAGCCAAATACACAAATAAACTAGGAGTTTAAACTGAATATACTAGCAAGACAAAAAAAAAAAATCTACATGACAGATTAAGGGTCATTTATGTTCAAACAATGAGGCAGGGCTTTAAGTTTGACCAATAAACAGAAAGACAGAAGAAGGTACAAAATACTACCCAAATCAGTTTAAACAGAAACTGTAATAGGAAGGAAAGATTACAGTTTTTCACTTAAAACAAAAAAACCCAACCAAACACAACAACAAACCAATTCATTCCCAAAGAATTTCCAATTTCTGCTACTCAATATTACCTCTGCTTCCAACCCCAGCTCTTTCCTATTAAAAAAAAAAAAAAAAAAAGCATTCTTATTTTCCTTTCCCCTCCAAGCATCCTTTTCCTCTTACCCATAGGCTGATGTCTTCTTGAGGATAGAAGGTGGCTGGGCCCCAGGAAGGGGAATGTCTTGTATAAGGATGTTGGAGGGAGCATGAGGCATGTCAGGTAAAGGGATACTTTCTACTTCAACATGCTGAGCATTCTGGGGGAAGAAAAAAATAAAAATTGAGTTCCACAGAAGCTACTGCACAGTCTTATTACCTTTAAGAACACCCAACACATGGGACCTGCCATCACTTGCCAAAGAATGGATGGAAAGCTTACCCTCATCCTGGGCTTACTGATAAGACTCCAAGAGGAGCGATCTCCAAAAGAGATCCTTCCCTAGTGGTAGTCAGTTCTTAAATGGGGTCTAGGAGAGGTGGAGCCAGGCTCCACCCCTTACAGTAACACAGGAGAATTGTCTTCACTTGTGCTCCCAGGGCTGACTCATTGCTCATCTCCAGTGGTCAATCAGAGGTTCAGGCCCTGATTTAGCAGTTCCCATACAAGATTTAACAGAAATGCCAATGTTCTCTCTCTCTCTCTTTGATACAGAAAATAGATTCCGATATTGATCTGCAATGTAAGTTTTCCTTTTCCCTCTAGTCTATTATTAAATTAAATCAATATAAGAGGGAAAAATACTATTGCTCCACACTGTCTTCACTGAAATGCTCTAACTGGAGTTACTAAGAATCCTAGTACATGTGCTTAATATTAACTAAATATATACTGGTCTCTTATAAAGACTCCTTTTTAAACTGTTGCACTTAAAGAGAAAATGAAGAGTACAAAGTACACAGTTACAAGCCTCAATATTAAAAGCATTACCTTGACGGCATCAAAATACTGGCTGAGCTGTGCTCTCTTTTGCTCATACTCCACTTCCAACTTACGGAGTTCTTTATAGATGTCAGGATTCTCCTTTTCATAGAGCCGTAAGATACGCTCAAAAGTCTCACGGAGCTTTTTACGTTTATCCTTTAGCACTTTCTCATTAAGCTGTGGCTGCTGCACTGGGTTAAACTCTAATCAAAGACAGCAAAAGCAAGCCAAAGATTCATAAGTTACTCTACTCCACAACCACAATTAATAAAACAACTTCAAACCACTTTCAGTTCCTATTTTCAGGAAGTGTTCAACTTCCTGAAAACAATCAAGACCAATTATAAGTCACTTATATACTCAGCTACCTTCAACACCCAGTACCTCCCCTACTCACCCATCTCATCCAATTTCTCCATGTCCCGGATGATCTGCTTTGGGTCTTTCATCTTCAGTACAGCTGCTCGTACCATCATTCGTTGCTTTTTGTTCTAAAAAGATCAGAAATCAAGGAGATCAGAAAAGTGACACAGGAGAAAGAAAATCTTTTTACCAAATAATCCTCTGTCAACACTCCCAATCTATAGAAAAAGGCGTCTTAAAATGCTTTGCAAATATTAACCATGGCACAAATCAGCAGGAGAGATATTAAAAACTTCTAGGAGTTGTAATGCCACTATCTCACTATTTACGGATGCTTCTGTAATTCATACATTCCAATGAAGACATGTACAATCAGCAAAATAAATCAACTGACAAAAGCAATAAAAGGAATCATGCTAACAAATACATAAAGGGTTTTTTTTTTGTTTTATCTCAAATCCAGATTTCTGCCTACGTTTTCTTAACTGTTTGGACAGTATATTCCTAACTAAGTTTTACAAGATCAACTGGAACACTGCAGTCTATTCACCATTCATGGCCCTTTATAATCACAAACGTCACGCAGAGCACAGGGAATTCCAAGTAAATGATCCAGATCTCTTTACATACCTTTTTTAGTTCCCTCTTCCGAGCTTCCTTTCCTAGAGAGAGGAAAGGAAAAAAAAAACCAACTTGAAAGACTGGCTCAAATCAGCAAACAGCCTTTCCTTCTTCAGGACAAGCACTATTTCTCAACAGTTCAATCATTTTGCAATTTTCATTAAATAAAAGGAAATTTTAAAGCTCATCTTCCCACTGATAGACAAATACAGTAAGAAATAGAAATCTATTTCATGTGTCATATAGAAAGAAAATGCAACATAGCAGTCTTCAGGCCTCTAGAAGCAGCAATGTTTTTATACTGAAAAGAATAACAGACAAAAAAAAGGCACAGCGATGCGTGCAATTGTAAAAGATTGCTGCTGAAATGTAGTGCCATCAAGAAACAATTCCTTTTAAAAATATGCAGGCTTTGAACATACATCTGAAACAAAGAATGCTCACAGTGGAAGTCTGGTTTTTCTGTTTCTACGTAGCACTAAAAATTCAGTATGTTACAAAAAGGAAGAGGTTAGACAACTCCCTCCTGTAAACTGAGCCTTTGCAGAATGTGATGTTCCACAAATTCTAGCCTCAGGTAAATTACCTACACCGTAAGGAGCAGCTCAGCCAATAGTTAAGTATAGAAACTACAGAACACTGATAATTACAGTAAAAATTAAGGGAAAAATAGTGCAGAGCAGCAATAGCATGCAAGCTAGTAGCCTACCTGGAAATTTTTAAACCAGCCAAAATGGAGAAAGTACTTTTTGGGTTTGGGAAACTCAGTTCCCAGACAAAAGTGATGATCTTATCCTCAGAGAAAGATTTTTATCTGCTTGCCTGAGACTCCCTATTTCCTTTTGCTTAGCTTTTATGGGTACTTACGAGCCTGATCTGTGGGATTCATGAATTTCCCACTCTTGGTGGATGACGTAGATCTCCGCCCCATTTTGCCTTTTTTTCTTCTGCTTCAAAATAAAACAACTGAAAAAGACCTGGAAAAGATAACCATAGTTTCAGATCCTATGCATAAGTAGGACACGTGTGCTTATTCATCCTCTTTGTATTAGCAGGTTGACAAACCAAAGAAAACCTCAAGTATTCTGAGATCCTCAAATCCTACACAAGTTCAGGCATTCACATCAAAACCATCCTATTTTAACTAAGTACCACTTAACTACTTACTTACAGCTACTTTAAGTGCATACTTTAAACAATTCAGCTTGTTCTTCACCTCAAGACTTAGACCTGGAAATTTCTTGCTTTTAGAAAAATAAAACGTGTTATTTTAACTTTCATTGTATCCTTCCATAAAATAAGCATGTCGGAGCCTTTCTAGCTTTCCACATAATCACCTAAGATATCTCTATTTCAAATGTTTCCATAAATATCCTTTTTCCTCTCAGACTTCTAAGTTGCCCTTGACTTCTCCTTTACCAACCATCCACACCACATCCATCAAGAAGCACTCTATACACATTCTTTTTCTCCTCACAGACCACTACCCTTATGCCATCTCAATCTGTTTCAAGCTGCATCACAATGACCAGAAAGGCAAGATCATTCTAATAAAGAGTTCTTTCCTGCCTTTGGGCACTTCTTTAACTTACAGTCAACTGTAATGGCTGAACTACAATCAGAGGCATTGCCTTTCTCAAAGAGAATAACGTTCTTAAACCTTGACCCCAAATCCTTCTGGGGTAAAAAGGAGGGTCCGCACAAGATAACGGCTGAAGGAGGAAGAAAAAATCAACCAAGCCAATGTATGCTTCGTGAGCACTGGGAAGTGAGGAAGAAAGTCTCCAATGAAGCACACGAAGGCCTCCCCTCCTCCCTCAAGAGATGTTGGGGGAAAGGAAGAAGGCGGCAGCGCCAACCGCCTCCCTCCCCTTGCTTCCTTTCCCTTCTCCCATCCCAGCTCCATCCCTTGTATCTCACCACTCGGCCCGGCGGGGCAAGGCGAGGCAGTTCAGCTCCCTCCCCGCCGCCGCGGCCTCTACCACCACCGCGCCGCCCGCCGCTGCTGCGCCGCCATCTTGAACGGGGATGGAGTGGCGCGCCGAGGTAAAGCACGATCGCCGTAAAGCGCGACTGTCGTAAAAGCACAAGTGCCGCACAGCGCCAACTCTATGATCTCGCTGCCTTTCTGGCACGCGCGGGGCTTGCCGGGACGGCGGCGGTCGGGGGGGGAGTGGAAGATAAAGCCCTGGAAAATCTGAATTGCTGCGAGACTCTTTCACTGTTTAATAGATGCTGTGAGAAATAAATGGATCTAATTTAAATTCTGTCCCTGTCTTTGCTTTGTGATAGAAGGAAGCAGGGCAGAGGTGATGTTTATTTACTGGCACCTTCAGCAGCCGAATGAGGCTGTTGGTCGTTTAGCAGTGCCTCATTTTGGCTGCCCTCCTCATGGGGGTTGTGCTTATTTAGAACACGTGCGCTGTGCAGGTTTAATTCTTAATTCTGTGTTCACACACAGAGCAGGGAGGGAATACATGAGGGATGTGGTGGGGACACCTCCACCATGCGCATCCTCGACGTGTGCCATATCACAGGAGAGAGCTCTTGCTGAGCCTTTGCAGGTTGCCCACCCCTCACAGAGGCTGGGTCTCTCACTGTGGCAATATGGAGCTCAGGCAAAGCGTTACCATGACAACCACAACTGCTTTCTCCCAGGGATGTCTGCCGACTAGTAGAAAAATATACTACACAACTGTCAGTGATATCAGCAAGTCCCATAGATTCTTTTTTTGCTGGACTAGGGGAAAAGAAGATGTGTTTTTTTTAACCTCAGGATTGCCCTGTGGGGCTGGGAGGTGCTGTACCCCACTGTGAGGTCAGCTCCCTGGGGTTCTGGCCAGGCTTCTGTGGGCTCACGGCCTTCTGCCCCATAAGCTGTGGGAAAGGCTCCAGCCTGCTGGGCTCCGGCATCTTCAGCATCTTATGGACATGAGGACATCTCAGGCACCTGCTTTTGCAAGGAAGACATCCTTCCACTAAGCCCGGCAGGATCAAGGATCAATCAAAAGGTGAATAGAAACTATTTTTAGGTTCTTCATTGTGTGTCCTGCTTCCACTGGCACTGCTTAGAATTTGCTTTCAAGAAAATGTGGGTAAGCTCTCTGAAAAGTACAACAGATTTGCTTCTGTTTGACTCTGCTGTTCTACTACAGCAGTGGCTGACAATCTCACAGGAATACGTAGTGAGCTCATTCTTTTTCTCCCTAAATTAGAGTGTAGATTTGCACACAGAAAACAGCAGGAATGAGGAACTCCTGCCTTTGCAACGCTCAAAATGGCACTGCTTCTGCAGCTGGACAGTTTGTACAGCCTCTTGCCTCTAAACAGCTGCCCCTAAACTGACTGCTGTACAGGTCAGGAGTGAGGCTACATCACACATTAAACAAGATGCTTTGGGTCACCATGTCAACACAAAAGCGTGTCTAGATAAGGCAGTCTTTTTTGCTTCCTCTAAATTGCCTCTCCTGGCTCACACTGCCCAGCCTGTGGCTTGTGCTGGTCCCAGTTTATCAATTCAGCAATGGCTTCTCTGGCATCTGAACTTTGTCACTTGAGAGCCAGCAGCTGCATTGCCATCTAGTGGCTCCCACGTTGGTGAAAACAAAAGAGGGGGAAAAAAAAGTGGGAATAGTAGGAAAGGGGGAAAAAAAAAGTGTATCTATCTATCTATCTATCTATATACACGTATATATATACACAACACCAAAACAGAATGGAAGATGACAGTGGACAGCTTCCTTGATGTAATCTCACCCATCTCTTCATTTTTGCAGGCACTATCTAACCAACATTTGATGCTGAATATTAACAAGCAGATATGAAAAATTTATAAGCTGCATCCATAATGAAGGATTTTAATATTTTTTCTTTATTTGGTTTGAGATTGATTTCTTATGATAATTAAAAAAAAAAAAAAAAAGTGCAAGAAAGAGAACGCTGAGAATATTTAGATATATTTTTATTAATTCCTAAATTCTATTTTTTTTTCAAAGAAAAAAAGCAAACCACAGCAAATCAGAGCTCGACAGCAAATCATGCTCTTGCTTCTAGCTTTGTTCTGAAAGTCTGCAAAATAAGGCCATTTGGTGGCAAGTTGTGAAATATAGAATCAGAGTATTTTTGGCAGTCCCACACTGGTGACTCGTGAAGCAGTTGTAAGTAAATTTAGCACACTAATAGGGCTGTAATCTTACAAATCCTTGTGTAAGTATATAATGCCACTTGATCAACAAAGCAGCAAGTGTGCACAGAAATCTCTACCTGAGCGAGCAGGAGCAGGGCAATACTGGTAACAAGATGTTGCTCACAGCTAGATAGATCAGGAGCACTACAGCTGGGTTCTCTCAACTGTTGGGCCTGTAGGCCCGTGATTTTTCTGTCTGTTAATCCGCTGGTATTAGAATTTATATAAAGATCTCTGGGTGGCTCCTCAGGCAAGAATAGCACAGGAAATAGGAGTTACATGTGCTACAGCTAGTCCTTGTAAGCGCTTCTATGAATGGGGAATTCAGCCTGGCAGATTTAGCACAAATCCACACTAAGAGTTTAATGATGACGGCCGTCCTGATAAATTCTTCAGGTGATTATATGGTTATTTTGCTGAAATAATTTTCTCTTGTTATAATGTCATTTTGATGGAGGAACTCTGGAAGAGAAAAACTGTACTTTCTCACCACTTCTGCTCCAGCAGTGTGTATTACTGTCATCAGTACCAATAGCATTTCGTCTACAATGCGTTCTGGAGAACAGGTGAAGAAAAAGTGCCATGTGTTTAAAGTGCTGCCTTTCCATTCACTGAACTTGATGTCTGACCAAAGAAGTCACTTCACGTATGGCACACTGATATTTTTCTGAGGCTTCTTTAAACTCAGCCAGGTGCTCCTCATAGCTCCTCACAGCTGACAGCAGCTGATTCCTCTCCACAGCTCCCAGAATGGCATGGAGAATCATTTCCATGCCAAGCCCCAGGATAGTAATGCTGATTCCCCCAAGAACAGATGCCCCGATCTGCGCAAGGAGGCTGACGAGTTTGCAGACAGTGATAGTGATAAGGTTGGAGCTAAGCAGTTTGACAGCTACCATCCCAGCAGTTGAAGTCACTTCTCCAAGAACAATGGAAAAAACTTTATGGGCTATTGCAATTTTCTCCAGCTCAGGCTCTTTGATGTCGTACAGCTTCTGATACAGCACAGGCTCCAGCTTCTCCCTCATGTCACTATCAATCTTCTGTACTTGACACTGAATCTCACGCATCGCTTGAATGATAATATCACAGTTCTCTTTGACAGTGCTGCTCTCTCTCATCTTGATGTGGGTAATAGTACACCCCAGGTGTGCATTCAGAACTCCAGCCAGCTCATTTGTTGCATGGAAATTCATGGACATGCAGTCAAGCAATTCCCGGTGCAGATGGATCAGTTCTTGTCTTCTCCTGGGGTTTTCTGGGTAAAGGAGGTCACTCAGTGCCATTCTTCAGGGATAAACTACTTCAAGAGAGAAAAGAAGGTTCTCACTCTGTTCAATACCCACAATCCCAGCCCTTAATTAGCAGTGAAATATAGACTGCTTTGTCTCTGCCTCACTAGTTCTTATACTTGGCAAATCAAATCCCAAGACGCAGTTTGTACATCCATAAATCTTAAACACTGTTGTGTATTCTTGGCCAAATTATTCAAAAAGGACCTTATGAGACATTGGACATGCTCAGAGCAACAAAGCCAGCTAACAAATATGCAACTAGTAGATCGGTAAAATGAATGTGAGTCTTCCCTCACTTAGGAAATTACAGGTAGAAGCTGAACTAGTTCACTAAAGAACAGGAAAAGCTAGTCTAGTCAGCAAAATCTAAAATAAGGTGTGGAAATGAAAGGCCTGTTCTAGATATACTTTTCTGTCAACCTACTTTTTTTTAATGACATTAGTGATATCCACTTTTTAAATGACTATAATGACGATGCAGTCTGTATCAGCATGAGAGTGTTTTAAGTCACTGTAGTTTATTTCTTATCCTGTTCAATAGGAATATAGGAACTTTATATGTATACTAAATCACATTTGGGAATTCATAGAGAATAGCAGAATTGTCTATGACAAACACATCTTTACCCATATCGCTTACAAACAACTCCTACTGCGTTTTCTTTCTTTCTATGTAGCCCTTCTTCCTTCTCTGTTTCTTTCTTCAGTATTCCTAATCACATCCCTTCCTAATACCATGAAAACCCTGTTGATTTTTCACTGCCGAATGTCAAGCAGCTACAGGCAGTCCCCTGGCATTCAATGTGCCATGTCAGCTCCTGCAGGAGTGACAGACTGCCTCGGAGCAGCAGGCAGCAGCCTGCAGGGCCCGCCCTGCTCATGCAGCCACACTCCCTCTCTGTACCACTTTCTTTTAAGCCATCACCAGCTGCAAAGTAAAAATGATTTTGACTTTAGCACACGCATCTTACATTGCAACGGAGCCAAACAATGAATGAGTAGGATGACTGGTTTCTTTGGTGATGCCTTTGCTTTTCAACCCTTTTATTCCAAACCACTTTTACTGAGCCACTTTTAGGCATTTCCTAGATAAATCTCTTCTTGCTCTCAGTGCCCACATAGCACAGTTATGGCTGCAAATAATCAAGTGTAGGAGACTAGCTAGATTTTTCTTGTTGAAAGATACATTGATGCCATTTTTGTCCTTTGTAGTTCCCATTATTAGTTAACTGTGAACCCAGCTGCATTTCACTAAAACATCTTCCCCAACAAGATCACTTGAAAAAGCGGAATGATCTCAACATTCCTCTAGCCAACTTTTAGTGTTGAACTACAAGCCAGTTCTCTCATGATTTTTTCCCACAGTATTTTGCACAGTACATCGTTGTTTCAGACACTTACCTTGTAGCTCTGCTAAGAGAATAAACTCTTTAACTTATCTTTCTCAAGGCTAGAGGAAGCAAAGATTACATACAGTAAAAGGTTTTGACTCCCAGGAAACAAAAAGTCCTGCCAGCTCAAGGTATGATTCCTTATGCTTCTGGGATGCCGTTGGTTTGTACTCTGGCTCAGTGTGATATTAATACTTTCCACTTCACTGATGCTGGGTTGAAAGGTCATTTGTTAATCCCCATTTATAGAAACTGAAAAGACAAAATGTTCTAAGAGAAAGAGCGTTTCAATGAACATTTTACCTACTAGAAAGCTATGGAGAATACTGATAGCATCTATTTTTTATGCATGGTTTTTTCAGCTTCCAGTAATTTCTTTTGATTTTATGTCCCTTAAACATAAATTATCTCTTATTCTTCACATTGACACTTTATTAACATCCACATGTTAAAGTTAGACAGGCCACATACATTTCCATATTTCTGTCTATTTCTCCAACTCCAGGCATGTTTTTTCCCAGAGGCTTTTTGAGTTAAACATTCAGACTGCCTACCTGATTGTGCCCAAGTGCTCTTGCAAACAGCTGAATGTGACAGAACAGTGATCTCATCCTGTTTCCACTGTGTTTCTCTGGTGGTTTCCAGTGGCATGTGATGAGTCAGGGATCTAGAGCCTGGGCTTCAGCTGGGTCCTGCTGCCTGCCTGCTTGCCATTAATTTTATTATGTGATGTTTACCTGAGTTCTCCTTATTTTCTTCCTCATTTCCCCTTCCTTTTAATTTTAATACATTACAATTTATTTCACGCTAGTTCACCATTGTTAGGTCCTCCTAACAAAGGCCTTTTTTTCCTGAAGAGAATAGGGACAGCATGAATCCATCTGCCTATGGCAGAAGTATCTACAGCCATTGCTGAAAGGGGATGGTATAACTTAGTGTTCTCAGAACAACAAAAAAAGACGAACGTGTAGGACATATGTTTCATTTTGTGTATACCCACTACTATATGCAAACTGAAGGATTATGGTTCTAAGGATGATGTAATGTAGATTGTTTGAGGGGACTTAGACAACTTTAACAATAAATATCAAAGGTGAAAATAATCCATCTGCACCTCTACTATTGCTTTTCAGATGACATGCTGAGGGCCAGATTCACAACTCCTGCATCCATAAGAATAACCATACCTGCAGCTTCTGACACCACATTTTGCTGGCCAGTTTGGTAAGACCACTGCAAAGGCTGACTAAGAGTTTTTTCTTTGTTTTTTTCTAACACTGAGGTCTTGTGGGGAGAGTAAGGTGGTTTGATAATTTGTAATATTGATTTTTTAAATGTGACATTCTAGCTGAAAATATTTGTATTTCTCCCTCTTTATCATCTGGATTTCCTCTGTTTGCTTTTCAGAGCCAAACACCTCCTTCAGAAATGTTAGCCCGCCTCGGTTTTAGCAGTGACAAAGAAAGGCTGCTGAAGGCCTGCCAGAATCTGTATGAATTAGTGTACATTTATGTCTCTTCAACTAATGCAATATTCCAGATCCTCAATCACCATCTTGGCACCAACTTCCCCATCATGACAGTAAAAGAAAACTTCAGCATTAAAGAGAACCTGCAGCTCCTGGTCAGTGCTTTAAAAGAGATGCAAGCCACAATGGAAACAAGAGACAGAGATGTACAGGAAAGCATGAAGCAAAGCTTGTATGCTAAAATTACCGGTCGCATCATCTCTCTACAGGAAAAAATGGCTGCAGTAAAAGATATCTATGATCATTATAAGGGGATCATAGGAAGTATCTTGGGCGCACTGGTTGCAGTGTTGTTAAAACATGATAATTTCCCCGGCACAGTTGAGTCTGCTATAGAGCAGTTACTGAGTTCACCTGCTTTATCCCTCCATGTATCAGAACTTCTCATGGACTATGCTGATATCATTAAGATGCTGCAGCAGAATGGGACATCAAGTACTACAGAAGACAGCTCCTCCTCAGGTGAAACGTCAGAACAGCTCAGGCTTCGTTCTGTATCCTCCAACTCTTCACTCTTTGCTTTCATACAGACCCTCCTCCGAGGACATAGGTCCGTAAAGAAAAGCCTGAAAGTAGCAGCTGACAGCTTAGAGGAGGCTTTCAGGGTGCTGAGGCCGCCGTGTGAAGCGTTCCAGATATTTGTTAAAATGATTGAAAACTGCATTCCAGCAATAACAGAAAAGTTGCAAGAGACACAAATGTGCCAACATGTTAGAAGTCCACCTTGATTCCTTTAACTTTCACATAGGAAGGAGTTCAAGCAAGCTTGAACACACACATTCAAGATGTACCTGTGACAGCTGTTTCTAATCTTCCCAGTCGTTTTTGAAATGTGTACTTAGTGTCTCTGAGCAGTTAGAAATAATAATAAAGTTCTGTCAATCAATTATTTGAAATGAATGGTAAAGCAAAAGAAACAAAAGCGTGGTGTGAAATATACATACAGAACAAGCTAATCGTAAAATAGTTCAGCATTAAATCTGTTCAAACTGTGCAGGCAAACATGTTTCAGGATTTCTGTAGAAGCAGCTGATCAGTTTGATAGAGCATGCCACTACATTTAAATAGTTACATGATGGTCTCTGCCATTGCATGTGTCTATATCTGATGTCAGAAATGCTGAGTGTCCAGCAACTCATTTCAGTCTTCCCAAAAAACAAAGACACTCACCTTCTTTAAGTGCTCTCTAATCTGAGAAATGCTAGCATTTCTCAGGTGCCTAAAGTTCTGCATTTCTTGACATGGGATTTCCAATGGGATGGCAGCACCAAGCTTTCATGGAGCTGCTCAGAAAGCCAAGCAGTTCACCCAGCTGTTTTTTCTTGTCTGTTATTCAAGTGTATATATCTGGATGTAGCCAGAGAATCAGTCATTGCCTGGCCCAGTACAATAAAACGCCAACTGCACTAAAAAGAATGACGGAGGCAGAGGCAGTAGATCCATTGTTCTTGATTCTTGAAGCTGAAAGAAAGTTGAGATAGCAGTCATTTAAATCTCCTTTGACTGCCTACGACTTCCTGCCCTTTCTAAAAGCACCCTTTGCCCCAAAGAGGCATTTCCTCAATTCTACTTACTATTCTGGCTTAGTGCTGAGCAAAAATTCTCATTCCAAAGGGACAAAAGCAGGATCCCATATTAGTGGTGTACTCTTAGGACAGGACTGTGGAGGTCATCTAACTGAAGAGTTATCTTTTTAGCCAAGAAACTGATACCACGTGTTTTGCCATTCAATACCTCTCCTCTCTTCTGCCACAGGAAGGAGAACAGAAATGAAGCAGGGTAGTTTTGTTTACATTTATTTGAGCTTGCCAGAGTAGTACTGCACTAAAGTCCTGTGTAGTCCTGAGGCCTGACATGTTCAAATTCAAGTTGCCAGCAAATCTCATCTGCCCTTCCAATAAGGGAGACTGGGAACACAATGCATGTGTCCTGCAGCATCTTTGCAATAGCAGATAACATAAGCAGAGGCTGCAAAGTGCCCTAAGGCCTGCTGTGCACCAGGAGGCCCCCTGTAGGTACATCTGGTGTAGGCTGATGGAGCTGCTGGAGACCAGGCTGCCTGCATCCCACCTACTCAAAGGGGTATATACAATACCTTCCAAGAGCTGGCAGCAGTACTTGCTGTAGTTCCCTACAGAATGCAGGTGGAGCCGGTTACCGTGCTGCGTCCGAAAGAAGTTTTTGACAAGGAATATCTCGTAAGGGGGAATGAGGACTTCCTTCTCAGATGTGTAGTAAGAAAAGCCTTGCATAGCTGCTCCCAGGCAGGTTGTCACCGTAAACAAAGTTTCATTCCCAAATTTCTGGGCTTCATTCCAGAGGCGAGAGGTGGAGGTGAAACGGCCAAATCGCACCAAGCTGCCAACTGTAGCCTCAATATATAAGTCCTTCACACCTCTGTGCACCCGGTAACAGTGACGTTTCCCCATGCCATCCTTGCTGCTCTGCCATTGCTTCATTATCTGGATAGCTGTCGTTAGGTAAAAGTGAAAATATTTGTAGCTGAAGTTGTATCTGTAATGCTCTGGAGACCTTCCTGCTGTGGATGTGGCCCAGTTCAGCTGAGAGTGCAGGGAAGAATTCATGGTGTAAGCCATGAGGACGGTGGCATGACTATCATGCATCTCCCTCAGGAGACCTACAGGGCTCTTCAGCAAAGCTTCCTGAGCCTTCTTCCAGAGGCTCGAATAGTTCTTACTAGCAGCTATTTCCTTCTGGAAATAGTCTCCCCGCTCCAGTTCTTCCATCATCTGCTCTCTGCAACCCAGGTACTGGTCATCAAAGGAATGTAGAGCCATATCCATCATAAGGTGGGACACTGCCTGTATTGCAAAAGCAAATGATAGTTAACATCGTAGGTGTGATTTTTTTCTGTATCTCTGTAAATGCAAGCCAGGTTTTCCCCTACCTTCTCCCTTCAGTTTTTCATTGTTGACAGAAAAGGCACAGAAAGTAGACATCTTTGACAAACCCTTCCTGAGCAACCTTTGGTCCAAGCTCCATTTCAGCAAATAACAACCAGAATGCTAGAGTTCTTATTTTATGGAGATCAATAGCATTGAAGACTTATGGACGGTTTCCCTTCAAAGGGCAAGGGGATGGGGCCCATAGGACAGACCTATAGTGCATGAAATTCAATATTCTGCTCATGATTTGCGAGTGATTTTGAAGAAAGAAAGAATAAGCAAAACATTGTGTCAGTGCAGCCTGGACACATCTCACAGGTGAATTTCTTCTTTTTGTCTTATCATACCCCATGGACATATTCTGGCTCCAGAGCAGGATGTTCAATGAGGAGAAAACAGCAGCACTGTGCCAAAACTTTTATTTGTCCACTTTGTCTCAGTGAGGCCAGATGGACTTGTCATGTAAATAAACGTTAAAAACATGAGTAAGGTTTTACATAACCCAGTGCTATAAAAAGAAAATAATCTCTAATATATTTTATTTGTGAAAGGACACACTAATTATCCAATACCCTTCTTAGCTTCTGAAGTTAGTCTGGTCCACAAACCACATGAGAATTCCAATTATTTCTCAATGATACTGTGATTTTTTTGAGGGGAAGCTAAAATTCACAAGGTGTAAGTGCCCCATCCAACACACACTGCTGTTGGCAGAATTTCAACTGAGACAAGCTGGAAAAGGAGAGGAATAATTCCATCAGAATTAATCCAAAGCTCCTAAAAAATTATATTTTAAATGTATTTAAAAAAAAAAAAAAAAGTTTTATTTCAGTAGTATAAATGATTTCATCATTTCAAATAAAACACAGGTTTACTCCTCTTACCAATCTTTGCAAGATCAGCAACAGAATGCTGGCCAGCAGAAGCACTGACATCCTGGAGTCTTCCCAAGACATTATAAAAAACACTGAGCTCAAGCAGAGAACCTTTGCATTCATTTCTTTCTCATTTTTTTCTGGAGTTCTGGAGTTTGTATTTTACTGTCCAATTTTGGTGACAGTTCTTCAACCAAAGATCACCCAGTGGATTCTTCAAGCAATTCAGATGTCGTTGATCAAGCCCAACAGTCAGCTTACTGGTAGAAGCGTGCCCACAATCCACAAACGAGGGTCTGGATGCATTGAGACTTCATGAGTTGTTTCTTCACTCCAACTTCAGTCAGGGCAGCTGTCCTTTGCCTTGATAATTCTCTTTATTCCAAGGTATTTTGCACTCTTGCTCTTGCAAAGAGAAGGGAATCTGACTTGGAGAGGTCTAGGACAGTTCTCTCCTGAGGTGTATATGTCAGGTTGGGAGTACTCCCTGGCTGAGAGTTTAAAAAGTCATTTTCAGGACGTGCAGAGCTCTGATAAAGACTACCCAGAAATGCACAGTAGGTTGGGATCCCATCTGGAGGCAGAGATAACATAAATGTCTCTCTCCTCTTTAGCTTCTCCCAGTTCCTAATAGCGTGCTGCCAATCTTCCACCTACACCACTGCAGAGTGGCACCTTGTTGACCTGATTACATGGTTGCACTCTGAATGCATAAATGCAGATTCTACATCGAGAACAATCTATCTCTGCTAGCTGCTTTGCAGTCACCCTTCCAATTAAAGGGCAATGAGTTACTCACGTGCAAAGTCCCATGACCTCTGGCAATATTTCTGTTAAAACAACAACAACAAAAAAAAGATTAAAGATTACCAGAGTTTCATCCTGACTGTGACACAGATAATCGAAGCCTACTTCTCGTTGCCTATTAATAAGTTGGTCAGAGAGGTTTTGAGGTGGGCATGCATTAGCCACGGCGATAAATGCAATGGCCATACGATGGCAGCAGAGGATGAATAATGGTATTGAAGAGTACCTTGAGTAGGTGAAAATCGAGCTGCTGCAGTCCAGCATTGCATTTGTGATCCGATTTGGGCACTCAGCTCTCCAAAGGCCACATAAAGGTCTGGTGGCACAGTGCAGATCGCATAATCAAGGCCTTAATGTTCACCTTCCCAGAAAAAAATATTTATCAAAAGGAGGAGACAAATACAAAACTAACAGAAATATGTAAATATTGACAGAAAATTTGATTTTCTTTTTACAAAAAAAAAAAAAAAAAAAAAAAAAAAAAAAAAAAAAGCAACAACAACAAACCCTCACATTCATGCAGCAGATACTGAGAGCTCACTAATCTCTTCGGTATTTTCCTGGCAACATTTTCACTGCTTTCTATGAGAATGTTGTTCATTTTACTAGATGGCCTTCAAAGGTGAGTTTTTCTGTAAGCATCACTTTATGCCAACAGAGGAACCACTCTCAGATATTTGACCAAGACAAGCAGAGGTACTTATTAATGTTTTTTTCCTTGGCCAAGGTCAGTATACCCAGAGCAAGCCACAACAGCTTGCCAAAGGAGGACTGCACACACAGCAGCCATCTGTGTAGACTTATCCCATGTCCTTACTTTAGTGTAGGGTCTTCCAGAGAAATGCTGAATTCTGTAGGCAGCAAATCATTAAAAATCTAGCTATCCTCTCCACCACTCTAATGGTGTATTGGAGTCATTACCTGAATCTTGGTGTAGTCATTTAGTGAGGCACTGGCACAGGTTGCCCAGACAGATGGTGGATGCCCGTCCATGAAGATACCCAAGGTCAGGCTGAAGGGGTTCTCTATACCCTGATCAAGCTGTAGGTGTCCCTGTTCATTGCAGGGAAGTTGGACCAGATGGCCTTTAAGGTTCTCTTCTAACTCAAACAATTCTGTGATTCTGTGATTCTATGATTTCTGATTTGCAATGGAGCAGAGGAGGGGGGAAGAAAATCTCATCAATCTGGATCCCACTCTACCTTCCAGACATCTCCTTAACAGCAGAAGCAGGCTGTACAGAGGAATAGAGAAAAGCAGCACACCAACTATATTACATAATAAGTATTTATTGCTATCAGCATATGGGAATGGCTGCACCAGCTTACATGAAAAAGAGATTTGGTGTTTCTTAGTTTCTTGAGGCTCAACAGTGTCTACTGTTGGATACAGGATTTGCCATCTACCTCTCAGGGAATACATTTTGATAGACTGTGTCAAGGGAGACTGCTGAAAGTTGCTGATGCATAACATTCATAAGGGGAGACAGAATGAAGTAGTGTAGAGGGAAGAAGATATGTGTGTATATATATATATAAAGGCAAGTCACCCTGAATGAAAAAAATGCTGTCCCAGCTTCAATCCACCATTGAACATCTTTATTTTTATTTCATAAAGTTCATTGCTTTATTTTCTTTGCTTTGGGGGAGACAATCTGACATGTTTAATTTCAAGCACAAAAGCTAAAGCATTAGAGAGACAGATTTTTTTGTTCTACTTTGGTACATTCAGTTTCACCAGAGATCAATTGTAATAAAAACAATAAGAGATTTCTAATTCATTTTTCACAGTCACTGAATGTAGCACACAGATGGGAAGGGCTCATCTAAAAGGTCTTCAAACACTCTTCTGGGGATTTAAATGTTGATATTATATGGGCAAATTTTGTGGTAGAATAATAAGAAGAGTATGCTGGGATGTGATTTCTAGCTATGTAATAGTATTTACAAAAGAAGCGGGTAACACAGAGTCTTCTCAACCATTTCTGGTGGCACTGAAAATACCACAGAAGACACCAGAAAATAAACATTTTTGATGAAAGCAAGAAAGCTGATGCAATCCAGACAAGCGGAATAGCCTTTGTGTTTCAGCTGGTGAGGGAGACAGTGGAAGATGGTCTCAGTGTGGATGTCCTTCTTCCCTTCTTCCTATCCACAAGATTCTTTCTGTTGAGGGTTTTCAGAATGGTCAGGTGATCAAATAATAATCCCAGCCTTAGTATCTCCCAAAGAAACGGTTGTAGGCCATGGGAAATCCTATTTGGTCAGACAGATAGTCACAGGGAGGGTAGCTTTCACAACGCTCACGCATCTGCTCCATTGGGCTTTTGTAATACTCAGAGTACCTGGAGCGAACAAAGAGAAAAATGCTGTTCTGCACATTCAGTCAGTGGAGTTGGAGAGGTTTCACACTCAAACAATGAGAGGAGTGACTCCCCAAAGTGCTCCAGCAGGGGACATCTCACAGTGCCTACATGGGGATAGATCTCCTTGTCAAATGATGGGAGAAGTTGGAACTGAACCCAGTTGAATCAACTCTCCTTGAAGTTTCACCAGCAAAGGAGACCATAGAAGAACTTATGGTTTTTATGGAGTTAGTTTTTTGCTTCATTACGTTGGGGTTTTTGTTTTGTTTTGTCTTTGTCCCCAGCCTTATTCCCCCGCTATGTGGCAGTCTTTTAAAATATACATATATATTATTTATTTTATAATTATTTTAGTATTTCTTGCTTATCTTAATCTGTGCTCAGTTTCTGCTCATTTTCCTATTTTCCACTCTCCTTTAGTTTTCGTAGTTTCCTCTCATCACCCTCACTTCTGTTGTAGACAGCAATCCTTTCCTTTTCACAGCTTTGTTTTGCCATGCTGAGCACACCCAAATCTTTTAGTCTCAGCTACACACACTGGATGCCCTTCTCACCTCCTTTTGCAGACTCACTTAATCTTTCCTGCACATGCTGCTACAGGAAAAGACTTAAAAGTATCACAAGCTATTATTTTATTTCTGTATTGGAAATTCCCTGCAGTGCCCTTGAGTTCTATTTGATGCATCTGTATTTCCAGACTAACCTTACCTTATGATTGAATAATACAGCAAGCTCTCTCTACCTAAGTCCTTCCTCATTTATGCTTGTTGCAGAAACCACTTTTATGGTGACCCACCTGTATGGAGGCAGTCAGTACAGTTTCTCATCTGAATTTCATTTTGTTTTTAATCATTCCAGGTTTCAACACGAGTGACTTCCTCTGCTACTCTGCTATGATCCTCTTCTCTGTAGATGGGAACTCCCAGTTTTCTGTCATCCAAATAAAACCATCATCCTTCCAATCCAAAGACGTATTGAATAATAATTATTCTTGACACAGGCCTACATGAGACTGTGGCTTAACAATTCATTCTAGGAAATATCTGAAGAGCATTCTTGCTCAAACTTCTCCAAATGTTTTTATCTAGGATTTCTCCAAATCTCTCTGCCTAGATTGTAGAATCATAGAATTATAGAATGGCTTAGGTTGGAAGGGACCTTAATGATAGTTGAGCTTTAACCCCTGTACCTCAGGCAGGGCTGCCACCCATCAGGTCAGTCTGCCTAGGGCCCATCCAAGCTGGCCTTGAACACCTCCAGGAATGGAGCATCCACATCTTCTCTGGGAAATCTGTTCTAGTGCCTCACCACCCTCAAACAAATGGATATACTGCACAAATAGTGCAGTTTTTGATTTAGCCTCACCACTGCACTGCAACTGAGCCACAGGTCCTTTGTATGGAGATTGAGGCAATGGTCAGGGATCTGTGATATTCACTATCCTGGAATTTGGATCTGATGTCTCCACGGGTTTCTGCATAACTTGTTCCCTGCTGACCCCATTAGCTAGTGCTGACTTTCTCCATGGGAGGGAATAACAAAGATCAGCAATGAACTCCTGAAGGAATATTTGTGAAAAAAAGAACAATTAATCTATCAATGGCAGGTTCTTACTGCCTTTTTAATTCTATGATATGTAGATGTACAGCAAAGAATTGCTTTGCCACATCCCATCCCCTCTTCCAAAAAGTCCTCTGGAGTCCAACTCTCAACCTGGCTCATATGATTTTACCATTCATACATGTCGAATCTCTTCTGCCTCTTCACAAAGGCATTGGCAACTTCCTTTTTAACTGTGATGCCTACCAAGAGAGAACACAGCAGATTAGAGATGCAGGGCCATGGTCTGTACAAATCAGAGACCAGCGTAGCCTCTGAAAAGTGATTGTTCTCTCTCTTCTCAAGCAGATGACTGCTGCAGCTCATCCCAACTGCCAGTTCATTTTTCCCCACTCAACTTTCCACTCAAAGCCCTACAACTTGGTTCCCCCCTCACCCCAACCTGCACATTTATGTGAAGAAAGGACTCTCTTAAATTCTATTCCCTTATCACACAGCATATGAGTCCACACCAAATGCTCAGTAGACAAAGTCATGACAGAATAAAATACGAATAAGGAGAAAATGAATGGAACCTCACTCTGTTTCTCTGGCCCAGCTAACTTCAGAGTCTTGGCTTGCTTTTTGTCTCCTAGGTTTAGTCAGGTTCCCTTGTACAGGATATTGACTGCACAGCAATGGCCAAATAACAGCCTGTCAGAAATCATCGCCTTGGGTTTTTTTTTTTCTCTTTTCCAGTTCGTGTTTGTATTGGCTCACTGGAAAAACAACTTTCATGCTCACCAGCAGGAATGTTACCCTGTAAGGTGTGAAAAAGGAGCACAAGGAAGAACAAGGGAGATTTTCCATGCAGATTTCTGTCAGGATCAGCTTGCTGTGATACCTATGGACACTCAGAGGTATGCAGTTCCCTGCAGCATGGGCAACCCAATAGAAGAGAGACTGCAACACCAAGCAGCTGCCAAGGAAGGTACTTGCTTTCAGATACACAACTTTCTTCTCTGCTGTCCTGTGCACTAGACTGTCTGACCAACAGATCCAAAGACCACTGTTTGGAGGCCCTGAGTCAGGTTCTGCTCTTGTAAGAGGCTGGGGGCACAGCAGTCTCTTCAGAGAGGTTTCTGAGGCCAGCTCAGAGGAGCACAGAGACTGGACACATTGCTTCTCCTACATCACACTGTTTCATGAAAGGGAGATGCAGTATGATTCTTGTTCATCCCTTGTACCCACCAAAGGGAAGAAAGGAAAAAGATACAGGAGAATGGAGCTAAGTGTCAGTCACAGCAATATACTCACTGGCAGCACTGGGAGATCCTGAGGGCTCTTTGGGATCTGCAAGACAGACAGATAGACAGGAACTTGCTCGTGCTGTCTGCTCTTCTGCTTCTCTCTCTAAGTGAATCGTTCTGCTTACTGAATGAATCCAGCTCTCTCCCTTTTCCAAGAGGTCAGTCCCTCCCAAAAAAGGTTTTATCAACACCCAGAATGTAGGGAAAGAATCATCCACCACCAAATTCACCCATTATGATTGGATGCATTTAATTTCATCTTTCTTATAACAGGATAAAAATGACACAGTAACCATACAGCACAGTGGAAACTTGAGGCAGACCTTCCTTTTCCTCCCTCCTCATCAATGCTAAGAGCAGGGACAGCAGGAGGGAAGGGAGCATTTGAGCAAAACCCTAGATTTGGACAGGACCAGAAGATCATAGAATCGTATAATTATTTGAGTTGGAAGGGACCCTTAAAGGCCATTTGGTCCAACTCCTCTACAATGAATAGGGACACCACAGCTCGATCAGGATGCTCAGAGCCCTCCCAGGCTGACTTTGGATGTCTCCAGAGATGAGACTTCCACCACCTCTCTGGGCAATCTGCCAGTGCTTCATCATCTTTATTATAAAAAATTTCTTCCTTATATTCAATCTAAATCTCCCTTCTTTTAATTTGAAACAATTTCCCCTTGTTCAGTCACAACAGACCCTGCTAATGAATCTGTTCCCTTCTTTCTCACAGCCCCCCTTTAGATAGCTGAACATCTCTTCTATCTTTGGAGAGAGAGATTTCCCTGACTCTAGACAGAAATCACAAGATATTGACAGCAAAGAGAATTAGGACCAAAAATTAGGATCAACTCTACACTTTTCTACACTTTTCACACACTGTATTTCTGTTTTCAGTCCTAATTGTAATCTTAATCCTTAATACCCCCTGCAAGCATCCAAACAAAACAGACATGGTAGGTCTCCTTTTCATCTTGGTTTTCCCACATAGGACAAGTTCACAAGTTTTTTCTCCCACTATTTCATCAGGTATTTGGCATGAGTGTGCTTACAGGCAGAGAAAGAGCTGTGGAGACCGAAAAAAAACCAAAACCAACCAACAAACCAAACAAAACTGTGCTTAAACAAAAGACTGTGTGTGAGAAGAGTTGTTTGTAGTTCTATTTTTAAGCAATGTATACATTCCTTGGATTTCAAAAATTAAAATAAAAATTAGAAGTTACTCCAAGGCTGTTAAGCAATCTGGAATGTAGTAACAACTAACAAAAAAAAGCAGAGATACACTCAGCAGTGAGAAAGTGAGCAAGAGACTGACAGAAGGAAAACACAGATCAAACAAAATATATTTGCCAGTACTGAATCATGACATGTCTGATGCTGAAACTCAACACTGAATGAGATAATACAGGCAGACAGGGCCCCTTCCTACTTGGCTTCTCTTTTCCTGTTGCAGAAACACTTGCTGTTTCTCATCTTCCCACCCTTCCCTCTCCATGAATTCTAGTGCTAACCACTGCATTGATCTCTCTTGATCATAATGTCACCATGCCAAATCATCTTCAAATGTGATGTGCTCTTATTCAATGGGACAACTCCCATTTTTTTTCTAAATATCAATAGGTGGTTTTTTTTTCCCCTCTAGAGTTCTCCCCATTCCACGTTTTTCAGCAGGTGAAGACTTGACTCAGTGCCTATCTCTGTGATTTTACAACACTTCAGTGCTGGCAGGAATAAAGTCTCCCTCCCTGTTCTTGACACAGCTCTGCCCTGCAGCTCACCCTGATAACCCAAGGTTGAACACCCAGCATGCCTTTGCCAGTTCACCTAATTGCTAAACTGGTTTCATGCTTCAGTATGTCAAAATGTTGGAATTCTCTGCTGCAGTTCAGTGATGCAAATGCTTATTTTTTTTGACCAACAGAAGAAAGAACCCAGGAGCAGGCTGTCTATCCCCAAATCCCTCTGATTTACTACTATGGTACAGCCTCCCAGACTAAGATACAGCAGTGTTCTCAAGGAAGATGTCCGCTTTCCTTACCTTTCTCACAGCAGCAGTGCACTGCCAGGGCCAGAGTCAAGATCATTGGTGTCAGTAGCTTCCTCATGTCTGCTTTGCCTTTGCTGCTCTCCCTACACTCAGAGCGTTCTTGGAGGCTACCAAGGCACTCTGGAGCCTGCTTTTGAGCATCGTTTTATATCCTGTAATTGACTGGAGAGATCAGGGCTCTGGCTTGTGTTCCTGAGTCTAAGCTCCAAAACAAAGCCTGTCCTTCAGGCCACAAAACATTGGGCCCTGGCAGCCATTTGGACATCCATCTCTGGACTCATGGCATTTCCAGAAGATTTTATCTCAGATTTTGAATAGGAAGAAAAACAACTGGATAAAAAATCACTTTTATTGTAAACATAGAAGTGATTCAGCTTCCTGAGGGAAAGCCAGAAGAGAGACCAGCACATCCAGAAGTGAAGCAGATGCTTTGGTGTGATGGGACTCTCCCATGTGGAAAACAAGTCTGAACCTGATGGTGACCCTTTTCCCCAGCCACACTCACACCTCCAAAGGAAAAGACACCCATAAAATGTTTTTCATAGGGCAAATATACAGTAGGTTTTCACTTTAGACAGTTTCAACAAACCATTGAAGAGATTTGAGATGTTTACAGTATTGGGATCTTTGGTAGATAGTGAGGTGGAACCTTTCTTTTTTCTTCCTGGAAACCTTCCCAGCCAAGCTAATGGCTTGGCTTCTCTTGTCTCAACATCAAATAAGCCTCGAGACTCCAGAGGTGTTTTACTCTTCAGAACTTAGGTGATTATGGTTACTTGGTACATCAAGAGGCACATGCCAGGAACAGACACTTGCCAGGCCTTGACCCAAAGCAAGGACTGTGCTCCTGACAGCTCATGTCAGCATGTTCCCCAAGCGTGATGGTGTTTGCAAAGCCCCGTGTGTGTGCAAGTATCCCTGCTGTCCCTGCTCAGACCCATCGAGGAGCATCCAGAGCCTGCACTGCTTGTAGCCAACCATGTTATTTGAAATAACCTCAGACTGTGTTTTTGTCTCCCCAGTTCAGCAGAATTTTAGTGAGTATCGTAGCTCTGTATTAAATGCTGAATTGTCATCAGGTATGGCCTGCACTATGGTGACATTTCAGCTTATGGCTGAATGACATTTATTCCAAGTCAGACAACAGACTGTGCTCCTGCGCACACACACTATAACTAAACCTCCTCTTCTTCCTCTACTGAGATGCTTTTTTTCTACCAGTAACCCATATTCCCATATTCTACTATGCCAGCCAAGTTTCCAAAGTTATGTCAACACAGCACATGGATCACATCTTTCTCCACTTTGTGTTTGATCCTCCACAGCCCCGCACACAGAGTTACAGAATTAAAAGGCTCCCAAGGGCAGTCACCCACTGGAGATTCTGCTGATCATTATAAACACAGTCTTTCATCTTACGTAGAAATCAGAGAAAATTCAGAATTAAAAAACATGTTTAGCTTTTCTACAGTCCAGGACAGACTGAACATATATACTAACAACATCCAGAAGAAGTGTCTTGGAGAGCAACAGTTTAAAAATAAATAAATATCAACAGTGATAGGTATCCTAGGAAAGGATAAGCAAAAGAAAGCTTGAAAGAGTATAAATACACAACTGTAGTCATCCAAACAGCCTAACCTTTCTTCCTAGTTTTTCCGAAGCTTTTTAATCAGTGTTTAGTCTCTCAAGCATGTTTGATTATCATTTACATTAATGAAAACCCTCTGAAAACTGATATTATTCATTATTTATTCTGGTAAACCGGAGGTTGGAAGTGCTAGACATTTTTGGACACAGACCCAGACAGCACTAGCCCCATGCATTCTGTTTTGGTGGTGTCACGGTGTCAAGACAAACCCAAACACAACAGACTTGTTGACTTTGGTGATCTTAATACTCAGCTCCTTGGGGATATGCAGAACAAATGAGAGTGCAAATATACCTAATCTGAACAGCGTTTTTTCACAACACTCATTTCTCTCTCACTTTTTCCTTTGGACAAAACCTCAGCAACTGTCAGGGTGGAGCTTCCTATCAGAAGTGTTTTCAATAAATAAATCTGTTTTCTTCCCAAAGATTCATCTGCCAAGCTGGCAAAACCACAAAGCATATTTCTGAAAAGATGTATGTTTCCACTGTGGAAGGTAGATTTGGCTCTATATTTAATTTCATAGAATATTTAACAGTTTGATACTTCATACCTTATAGACTTTGTCAGTGTGCTGTAATATTTCCCATTTCTCTAATTTGCAGGTCACTGGGGAAACCTGAAGATGTGCAAAATGAAACAAGCTGTGCTGAGCTGAGACTGAGGATTTTACACCTGCACACCCTACACTGATGGGTGTCCAAAGAGCTGTGGTTGCATCCTTGCCTCCAAGACAGAGTGAGCAGAACAGAGGGGTGGGAGCTGTTGTCTGTTGTTATCTGTTGTTCTGGCTGTTGTCCCTGGTGCCACTGGGTGACAGAGTGGCTACCAAGAAGGAGACCTACAGCCTCCTTCAGTCACTTGCCATGCCCAGAGGCCCATTGTATGGCCTCCTCACCACACAGTACAGGACTTGCTCCTTGCTCCTCAGATCTGAATCTCTGGTTTGTCCCTTCTTTTTCTGATATTTGACTCCTGGCTATCCTCGCCCTAATGGGTTCAGAGAGACACAAGAGGAAACAAAAAGTACAAGGGGATACAATGTTCAGTTTTGGGCCCCTTTCTACAAGAAATACATCAAGACAGTGGAGCACATCCAGAGTAGGGCAATGAAGCTGCGAAGAATCTGGAGTACAAGTCTTATGAAGACCAGCTAAGGGAACTGGGGTTGTTCAGTCTGGAGAAGAGGAGGCTCAGGAGAGGCCTTATCACTCTCTACAACAATCTGAAAGGAGGTGGTAGAGAGGTGGTGTCGGCCTCTTCTCCCAGGTAACAGCAATAGGACAAGAGGGAATGGCCTCAAGTTGCACCAGGGGAGGCTCAGATTGGATATCAGTAAAAATTTCTTCAAAAGAGCGGTGATGCACTGAAACAGGCTGCCCTGGGAGGTGTTGGAACAACTGTTCCTGGAGGTGTTCAAGAACAGGGCAGGTGTCACACTGAGAGAAATGGTCTATTGCAGTCACAGGCATGGGCTGATGATTGGACTCAAAGATCCTACTGGTCTTTCCAACCCTAATGATTCTACAGTTCAAGCTGATTTTCTGTGTCAACAAGAGCAAGGTGTTGAGCCAAGGAGAATTTATGTCTGCATTCTTGGTTTTAGCTGAAGAAATACAAAATAATAATTTCCATATAATATTTCAAAGTAAAAGGCTAATGCTAAAGTTTTCTGGAACAAAAGAGATAAAACAGCACTCCTGATGAAAATATGAATAAAATCTGGGCCACGTGCTCCTTTCTGCAGAAGCACCATACACCGGGATCAAAGGGTGCCTGGGAGAATAAGGTGCCAATGGCAGTTTCTTTCTGTCACTAGTTTTCATACCAACTTTGTCTTTAGGATTAAACAGACACTTGGATGTTGTTTACCCAAGTGATGAAATCTCGAAGAGATTTTGTTTTCAAAAAGTGCATCTCACCCTGCCTTCTGAACACCAGACCACGTTAAGATGTCCTGAGGCTGGGAACTGAAATTTGCCAGTGATGTCTAAAATAAGTCAGTTGTAGGCCCTGGAGCAAAATAATTGTACATTCTTTTAAACCTCATGTGATTGTGTGGTAAGAACTTGTTTCCATTATCTGCACCAGGTTCTATGATAAAGAAACTCAGCTTCTTTGTGAAAAGTCATCCCCTAAAATACTGTGAGTCATGAGATGATAGTGTCAAACCAGCAGTTTATTGTGCAGCAAACACCCACATCCTGAACTCTCTCTGATCTCTGCTACATCAGCTCAGCGCTAATTAACACAATGTAGGAATCCATGGCTACATGGGAGAGAAGCAGCAGGCAGGATAACATACAGGGACACAAGCAACTGAATATGTTTCAGAGCTATTGCTTTTCCTAGGAGGTTACCCTGAGGTCCAAGCCCCAGGGTGGGGACAGATCATCTTTACTTATTCCTCCTCCTCCCAAAATAGTGCCTGTAAGCAGCAGGATAGCCGTGGTTAAGAGCATACTGTTCACACAGGTAGAAGTCCTCACAGATCTCCCTCTGACGTTCCTGAGGTGCCTTATTACGTTCCCTGATCCTGCAAAAAGAAATTAGGGGTGTTATCTTAAATACACATCTATGGCCTTTTTCTGCCTTACCAGGCCTAAGGGTCCATCCCAGCCTCTAACACCAAGATACTAAGACATATCAGTGCATACCAAGGCATATCAGTGTTCACCACACCCAGGGTACCAGTGTGACTACAGCAGGTTGCTTCCCTAGGTAACCTTTTACTTCATGGCTAAGTAGGGTGGTGGGGATAAGAGGGTGGCTCCTGTCTCAACCCCCTGCTGCAGGAATAGTGCCCCAGTCTGATCCCTTCAGCTCTTCTGCTCTTCCCTAACCCCACACATGAAAAAAGGAGAGCAAGAAGCTTCCTGCTAAGGGCTACCTAATACTGCTGACAGGGTATCCCTTCTGTGCCTCAGCCCTTATTTTCACAAGCCCTGCATAAGATGTAAAACTGCCTGTATCTGCATTCTATAAGATGAGGAAAAGAAGCCCACCAAAAGCTTTGCAATTTAGAAAAAGTTATGCAAATTCTGCACAAGTCTTGAGGACTGGAACAAGATCTCAAACTGAGCTTCCCTTCCAGCTGGCCCACACTGATTTCCTCTCCTTTTGCTACTCCTTCCTTCTGACAAATTTAAAAAGAACTCCTCCAGTGCAAAACATGCCCTTGAATGCACGGACCCACTCTGCTTTCTGAGAGGTGTTCAGGAACCACGTGGATGTAGCACTGAGGGACATGGTTAGTGGGCATGATGGGGATGGGCTGATGGTTTGGCTAGATTACCCCAGTGATCTTTTCCAACCTTAATGATTCTATGGTTTTCCCAGGGTTGGCTCAAGCAGAGAGAGGGGCTTCTGAGGAGTGACTGTGGCTTCTCCCCTGGTACCAGCCATGACTGGCAAAGAGATACTATTCCGCGCTCCCACCCTCAGTGTTCTGGTG